TGCGACAAATCCTGTGCAAAGTATGCTTGGTACATGTTAATACCCAAAGGTCAACCTGAAAAGGCCATAAGACTGTATACTATTTCTGGATGATCAGAGTAACAGATCTCTTGCAAGAACACAGTTTTTTGAACTGTTGAGCATAACTGGAGATGCTCTGCCTTTATACTCTAAGCCAGTGGTTGGGCAACCTTTTTTTTCAACTGAGCCAAATCTCGCCAAAACCACGATTGAAATTTATTTTGAGAGCCACATTTTTAAACTGAAAATACATCCCCCATATAGTAATTCATCCCCATAGTAATTCATCCCCCATAGTTGTAATTCATCCCCCATATAGTAATTCATCCCCATATTAGTAATTCATCCCCCATAGTAATTCATCCCCATAGTAATACATCCCCCATATAGTAATTCATCCCCATATAGTAATTCATCCCCCATATAGTAATTCATCCTCCATAGTAATTCATCCCCCATAGTAATTCATCCCCATAGTAATTCATCCCCCATAGTAATTCATCCCCCATAGTAATTCATCCCCCATATAGTAATTCATCCCCCATAGTAATTCATCCCCCCCATATGCTTAGTAATTCATCCCCCATATAGTAATTCATCCCCCATATAATAATTCATCCCCCATAGTAATTCATCCCCCATATAGTAATTCATCCCCCAAATAGTAATTCATCCCCCATAGTAATTCATCCCCCATATAGTAATTCATCCCCCATATAGTAATTCATCCCCCATAGTAGTTAATCCCCCATATAGTAATTCATCCCCCATAATAGTATCCCCATATAGTATTCATCCCCCATAGTAATTAATCCTCCATATAGTAAATTCATCCCCCATAGTAATTCATCCCCCATATAGTAATTCATCCCCCCCATAGTAATTAATCCCCCATATAGATAATTCATCCCCCATAGTAATTCATCCCCCATAGTAATTCATCCCCCATAGTAATTCATCCCCATATAGTAATTCATCCCCCCTATAGTAATTCATTCCCCATATTGTGTCAATTCACTTACCTTTGCTCCGCGCGTTCCTCTCGCCGTGTTCCCACGCCATTCCGGTCTTCAGGGCGGACTGTGAGAGGAGAGGAGTTCGTCACGCTGCCCCGCCTACATACTGACAGCCAATGTTTGCCACGCTCGCGGGCCGGATTAAAAGGTCCGCCGGGCCGTAGTTTGCCCATTGCTGGGCTAGCTGCAGAGTCCTGACTTTTGGGGCGGCCACCCGAGAGGAGGGAGGGGAGCGGGTGTCCGGCACACAGAAGAGCCGCATTAAATTGTGTAAAGAGCTGCATGTGGCTCGCGAGCCGCGGCTTGCCGACCACTGCCCTAAGCACTTGTTCCAGCACTACAGCAGTCTTAGGTAGGAGAGCCAGTGGTCTTGTAGTTACTCCTCAATGTGGAAATATCTTTGCCCACTATCACTGAGTGCAACCAGATTCCAAGCACCAAAGAGGAGATCCCTACTCCTGAAGTTGCTTTTCACTATTCTCACTTAAAGCACATAGTCAACCAAATACCAGCCCTCGACAAAAGTGCTGATATCCTGCTGTTACTCGGTCGAAAACATCCTAAGGGTGCACAAAGTTCGTCATCAAATCAATGGTCCACACAATGCACCATATGCTCAGTGTCTGGATCTAGGATGGGTCATCATAGGCAATGCCTGCCTAGACAAGGACAAGAGGTACTACTCAGTCTCTTCCTTTAAAACACATGTCCTGTCAAATGGGCAAACAACTTGTTCTGCACAACGACCGCATAAATATATCGTAAAAGAAAGACTGTTTGAAAAAAGTGCACAACGGCCCATCATACAAGACAATAAGAAAGCTCTTAATCTCTGGGGTGACAACATCGGCAACACAATGTTTGAGGTAACCACTAAAGACAATGAGTTGGCAGCTACCATAGAAGACAAAGAATTCTTGAAACCATGGGTAAATAGTTCTACCAAGATGATTCCAACAGTTGGGTATAACCTCTACCATTTCGTACCCCAAGAAAGAGACTACCAAACAATAGGGTACATGCAGAATCATGGTTTGTTTTTAAATCGCAGTTTGAACCAGAAGCCTGAGATGAAAAAGCATTTTGTGGACTTCATGCAGAAGGTGTTTGAGAGAGATCATGCTGAGTCTGCACCTCCTGTTATGGAAGGAGAAGAATGTTAATACCTACCATGCTTTGGCATCTACCATCCTCGCAAGCCTGATCAGATTAGGGTGGTCTTTGACTCAAGTTCTTATCATGAAGGTGTCTCCCTCAATGACAATCTTCTCACTGGGCCTAATCTGAACAAGAATTTCATAGGAGTTTTACTTCGCTTCAGACAAGAGCCAATTGCTGTTGTGGCTGACATTCAGAAGATGTTCCACTGTTTCATCGTCTGTGAAGACTACAGAAACTTCCTCAGGTTCTGATGGTACCGCAATAATGATGTCAACGATGAAGTCATAGACTATCGTATGAATGTACATGTTTTTGGTAACAGTCCTTCTCCTGCAGTAGCAATTTATGGACTGAGGAAAACAGCTCAAGAGGGTGAGAAAGAATTTGGATCTGATGCAAGACAGTTCATCAAAAGGAATTTCTATGTAGACGACAGACTCAAATCTCTGCCCAATGAAGAAGAAGCTATTGACCTTCTTACTAGAACCCAGAACATGCTTGCCACTGCAAACCTCAGACTTCACAAAATCCTCTCTAACAGTGACAAGGTCATGATAGCCTTTCCTTCTGATGACCATGCTGTCAGTGTGAAGAAATTCCAACTAGGATCTGACCTTTCTGTTACAAAAACGCAGTCTTGGATTGCTTTGGAATGTTAAACAAGATAATTTCACATTTCAAGCATCAGCCTGTGACAAGCCCTTCACAAAGCAAGGAGTTTTGTTTACAGTGAACAGCATTTGTGATCCCTTAGGTTTCATTACACCTCTCACCATTCAGGGTAAGATACTGCTGAGACAACCTACTTCTGAAAGCTCAGACTGGGATACCCCCTTACCCAAGGAGAAACAACAAAGGTGGGTATCCTGGAAACAGTCTCTAAAAGCATTAGAACAACTCCAGATACCACACTCTTACACCCAAGCATCCATAAAGAGTGTTACCAGAAAAGAAATTCATGTCTTCTCCGATGCATCCAACGAAGCCATTGCTGCGGTGGCTTATCTTCGAGCTATGGATCGCAGCGATAAAGTGGGTGTAGAATTTACCATGGGCAAGATCAAGCTCACACCCAAACCTGCACATACTATTCCAAGGCTTGAACTTTGTGCAGCTGTGTTAGCTTGGAAATTGCTGAACTTAAGAAAATGAAACAGATGTTGAAATAGACTCCTTTGACTTTTATACAGACAGCAAAATAGTGCTAGAATATATACACAATCGCACAAGACAGTTCTACGTGTATGTCGGCAACAGAGTGGAACGCATAAGAAAGTTCTCTACGCCTGAACAATGGCACTATGTTCCCACTAGCCTCAACCCTGCTGACCGCGGCAGTCGTGCAGTACCTACTACTGCATTTCGGACACATCTTGGCTATATCTACCATGAAAGAAGGTTCTGCACACCTTTACTTCTGATCAATAAAGGAACTAGTACTTCTTTTGCCCAAAGAGGAAGACAAGTCATCAACTTGATTTAAAGGGAGGTAAGAAGGAATAGTGCATGTTGCTGCCTTCCCCTCTGAATACGGATTTCCATGTCTCAGCCTGGACTTTCGAGACCAACATCTGCAAGTATAATGCTAAATATTTGCATTGTTTTCCTTTGTTCTTCCCTTCCCTCTTGTTTTGCAGATGTTCCTAGAAAGAATCTTCATTTCTTATGTTGAACTAAAGTTTGTTATAATAGAAATCATAGATTTCGACGGGGAGTGTTATGTTTCACATGACTGTCATATGCCTTGTACGTGTTCTCTGTATTTGTCTCTGCTCCTTTTCCTTTGGTTTATTTAATGCTGTATAGATAGCCCACCCCTTTTCCCAGTATTGCATTTCAGCAAGCCTCAAGTCTCATGAAGCAGGTCACATTATGATCTTTTGACCTATCAGATGTTTATTGTTGTAAGATTCTCTCAGTTTATGGAATAAACTTCACAAGATCTACAAGATATCATCCGATTGAGTCACTGACTGTGGTATCCAACTGAGATTGGAGTTATCGCTATCTCATCACAACTGTAAGTTACAGAGATCACCCTTTCAATGCTTAGATTGGAGGGACAGAACATACAGTGAAGGACCAACAGTTTTGTATTGAAAGTGAGAGCACAGAGGACCTGCCCACAACCCCAAGCATTGGATCAAATATAATAGCATTGACTCCTAGAGGAGCAAGGGATAATGAACATAAAACTGCCTTTTAATGGTGCTTTAGACAAAAACAAGCATTTAACCCTTGAAGTGTGGGGGATGCCCTACAAAAGGGGGAACTCTTGAAATGTCCCTCAAGTTCCGCTTTAATAGGCAGACATCAGTGTATTAAAAGATGTACTATTAAAACCTTAATAATTTTCCATAATAGATGACATTAGCAGAACCTCTTTCACAGAGATTTTCCAACCAGTTGGAAACTGACATCACAACACTATGGGACTCCCTATGTAGTAATATCCTTAGTCATTACAAGTGATCTGCAAATCAGACTAGGACTGGTCCATGTATTGTCACACTTACAAGTAGTTTTAAGGGATACTGTTGGAATACAATGTGCATGTATTTTTGTACAACATTTACAAAAATTGCTGGTACACCAACAGAAAGAAGACTGCAAAAGAATAAAAGAAAATAGGCAGTGACACTGCTGCAACAAAGCTTTCATTTGCAAATCTGACGACCCAGAACTACCAGTCTTGGAAATTCAAGATGAAAATGCTGCTAACAAGAAAATGTATGAGGAAACGTATAGGTTAGGACAGGGCAGAACACCCTCAGATGAGTGGATAGAGAAAGATCAGAAAGCTCAGAGCACAAACTGATCAGTGTGCCCTGATGATCAGTGTAGCCCCAGCAGTGCCACCTGTCAGTGTCCATCAATGCCAGCTGTCAGTGCTCATCAATGCTACCTGCCAGTGCTCATCAATGCCACATCAAAGCCACATATCAGTGCCTACCAGTGCACATCAATGCCACATATCAGTGCCCATCTGAGCTGCCTTTCAGTGTCACCTATCAGTGCCACCTATCAATGCCAGTCAGTGCCACCTCTCAGTGCTGCCAATCAGTGCCAGTCAGTGCTGCTTATCAGTGCCAGTCAGTGCCACCTATCAATGCGTATCAGTGCCACCTATCAGTGCTCGTCAATGCTGCCTATCAGTGCCGCCTAACAGTGCCAGTCAGTGCCACCTAACAGTGCCAGTCAGTTCCGCCTATCAGTGTCACATATGAGTGCTGCCTTTCAGTGGCCATCAGTGATGCCTGTCAATGCCTATCAGTGCCACCTACCAGTGCCTCTTCATCAGTGCCCAACAGTGCCACCTATCAGTGCCCATCAGTGCAGCCTGTGCCCATCACTGCAGCCTCATTAGCACACATTAGTGAAGGAGAAAAATCACTTATTTGCAAAATTTTGTAACAAAAACTAAGAAAAAACTTTTTTTTCCAGTTGTTTTTGTTTTTTTTTTTTTTAGCAAAAAATAAAAACCCCATAGGTGATTAAATACCACCAAAAGAAAGCTCTATCTGTCTCAAAAAAATTGTAAAAATTTAATATGGGTACAGTGTTGCATGACTGCACAATTGTCATTCAAAGTGCGACAGCGGTGAAAGCTGAAAATTGGCCTGGGCAGGAAGGGGGTATAAGTGCCCAGTAGGCAAGTGGTTAATATTAGTCCATGTGATCAAACAATGAAATGCACCAGCTGTATAAAAGGAAAATGACAAGAAAAGCCTTTCCAAAGCAGAGTAACAGCAGAGCTAAAAAAAAAACCTCTGCACAAAATTCATTCAGATATTTGAGGTCCAATGGAAAAATTGACTCCAGGAAAAAAGAGTTATTTTCTCATTTTTATAGATTACTACTCATGGTATACTACATTATATCTGTTACACAAAAAAAGTGAAGTACCAGAGAAACCTGAACAGTATTTGGCTCAAGTAAGCAACAAATTTGGCAAAATGCTGAGGGTATTGCGCACAGACCATGGAACAGAGTATACAGGTGATAACACACAGGAGATTTTCAGAAAACATGGCATAATATTTCAGACAAGTGTACCATACAACAAAGAACAAAACAGGTTTGCAGTAAGAATGAATCGTACTCAATATGTGAGTGGAAGAACCATGCTGTTCAACTACCAGGAAAATCAACTGAGAAACTCCATATGAAACTGTGGAATAAAAAAGCCTCGAACCTAAACCATCTAAAAATTTTTGGAGGCAAAAACCTATGTGCACATCCCAAAAGAAAAACATAAAAAATGGGATGCTTGTGCAAAGGAAGGTGTACTTGTGGGGTAAAGTGAATCTCAAAAGGGATACAGACTTCGACACCAAGACACAATCAAGGAAATCATTAGAATTAGTGTAATTGTTGATGAAACTTTGCGTGTTCAAAATTTCATAAACTAACACAAACACTTCAAACTGAGGAAAATTCCACATCAGTGTCCCATGAAGATAAGCAACAAAGTGATACATGACAAATGGAAATTAATGCAGACAATCCAAATATTGTAAAAGAAGAAATCAGTACATATGAGGCTTCAAAATCCACCAGAAGCAATAAAGGCATCCCAGCCAAACGTCTGTCCTATGTTGCTCGCATAGCATTAAAACCAGAGCCAGATTTATGAAATTAGATGCAAAGACTTCCAATCTATGATAAACAAAAGTGGATCAGAACTGCTCACAAGAAACAGATTTATAGAATTGAAATCCAAAATGGGACTAATATAAGGAGTAGTTGTTGAGTAGGGGTGTTGGTATACAATGTTCATGTATTTCTTGTACTACATCATTATCAGTATTCATTACAGATACAGTATATTTTTTCAGTCAGTAGATGGCAGTGTTTATACATTTGTAGCTGCTTCTATGGTTAAACTTTGTCTTTTCTCTGTAATAAAGTTCCTGTTTCCTGTTAGCAGAGAAGCAGCAGATAAACATATGTGGGCTGTACGCTGTCTGTTCTGTAGGGCTATATACAGAATCTCTAACAGATACAACAAGCAGTCTTAATATCTATGTCAGGGTTCAGCAACCTTTTCCACAGTAAATGTCAATTTACACATTTTAGACAATTGGCATGTCAGTGAACCTCAGACTTGCCCCAGTTCCTGCACCTTCAGACCTTAGATCATCCCCAACTTCTGCACAATCAGAAATGCAGGGGGGTTGCATTCAAAGCTACTGGTTCCATTAAGAAGCAGAAGAGGGTGGGTTTTTTCTTTTAATGTGGACAGTACACTGATGTTTTGCAGCTGGCTCTCCTTCCAGTACCAGAGGGGCCTCTCTAAAACTAAAGGAGATAGGTGGGCCACAGGGGCAGACAGTCAGATCTTGCTTTGTAGCTGACAGCCTAGTGAGCTATCAATTATGACCTACTGCAGCAATGCTATATTTGTAAGTAGCAAATGACATTGCATGCCCATCGTAGGTTGCCTATCCCTGATCAATGTCTAAATGTATACACCTATTTGTTTTACTTTTTTTTTTGTATGATTTAGTAAAAGATTTGTGTTTTCAGCATTAATACAGCAATATAATTTGTTTGTCTGGTTCTATTATCGTCCTCTGTAGTAATTATTTTTACTAAGCTCATTTTAATTCATGGAATGACTTCTTCTGAGCTGCCCTTGAACAAATGTACTTTCTTTTAAAGTAAGTCACTTTGAACAGGCTTCTACAGTAATTAGATACTCCTACGGATTCAGAACAAGAAATGACATTTAAAGGAAATATGCTCATATTTTACTTTACCCTTCTGCCTTTGATACCACCATAATTCACTAGATCATGCATTACACAGATAGTGTAATGCATGAAAAACACACACACACACTCACACATATTTGTTGATTATAGCATGTAGTAATTATAAAATATAGCAAATGACATCCAAAACTGGAAAAAAAAGTACAGCTATACCTGCATGATATGGTAGCATATGTCACATTCAGGGGTGGACTGACAACTCATGGGGCCCCCGGGCAATAGGGGATCATGGGGCCCCTGTGTCCTTGCCCAAACTCAAAAAAGCCTATAAAAGGTACCAGGGGCATCTCATGGGGCCCCCTACTGACTCCGGGCCATCGGGCAGTGCCCGAGTTTCCAAATGGTCAGTCCGCCACTGGTCACATTGCAAAAGAAATTAAGACTGAGGTCCAAAAATCCAATCTAAATGTTCAAAAATATACAGAATTTTATAGATTGTATTCTTTAAAAAAAACTTTATGTCTCTATCCCTTCTGCAGAGTTTTTATTGTATGGCATTACCTATTGGTGGCTTCTCAGGTTTGCTTTACTATTGTGCCATTATGCCAACCCCCTCAAAAGACCAGCATTCCCAGAGAAGGTAGAGGAGTTGCCTGTGGATGACTACTGTAGCTAGCATTGCCTGTTGGAGTATAGGACATACCTTTAATATTTGTTTGTGGTCTCCAGTTTCTCAAAGACCTTCTCTCTCTTTTTTTTAATGATGTCAACAATTCCCTTGGATGGTTTGTGTACATTGCAGAATATTATTGTAATTCTGATGAAGATTCCTACCTTTTTGTTGCTTTTCTTAACAAAATATTTTCATCATGTCCTTTTCTCTGACAGGGCAAGGTTTGGTTCATTAACCACCTGGTGACTTCAGGGTTATGGTTGGAAGCTGAAGTATCAGCATCTCTCTAGCAGTGGTTAACCCTTTTAGGGCTTGTTACTAAGCAAGCTATTTTCTACTTCATTAAATTATTGGGTTTATTTGGGGAAAACCCTGTGAAATGTTTATCTAGTCTGGCAATGAGCAGTCTCAGAGCTGTCCCAAACAAAACAAATCTCTTCAGACTTTTCAAAACAGACACAGATGAACATGAATGTAAGTGTTTCACTCACCCTGTGAAGGGGTTATGTGTTCTAACATTGAGCAGTCTCATAGCCTTCCCAGGCAGAGCAGCCTCTTCAGACTCTCCAAAGGGGAAAAGACAAATGAACATGACAATATGAATCTCGCTTTGTTCAAGCAACCACAAATGAGGATGATGACACCCAACACGTCACATTCATTAAGTGGCCAGTGCACGAAAAGGGAGTTGTTTCCACTCACCCTGTGAAAGGGTTATATATTCTGGCGATTAGAAGTCTCATAGCCATGCCAGGCAAGACAGCCTCTTCAGACTCTATGAAAAGGAAGAGGTGGATGAGCATGACTATGTATGCTGCTGGTTTAAGCAGCCAGGGATACAGATGATGACACCTAACAGAATGTCACATTCAATAAACACATTTTTAATACACTAAAGGAATGGTTTCCACTTACCCTTTGAAGGGTTATCTGCTTTGCAATGAGAAGCTGCCTAGTCTTCCCAGGTGAAGCATCCCTCTTCAGATTTTCCAAAGAGGATGATGTGGACGGACATGACTGCATGCATACTGCTTTGTTCGAGCAACCAAGGATAAAGATGACACCTAACAGGTTGTCATATGAGGCTAATACGCTCTAAAGCAGCGGTTCTCAACCTGGGGGTCGAACGACCATTTCACAGGGGTCGCCTAAGACCACACATATTTCCGATGGTCTTAGGAACCAAGACACCGCTCCTCTGTCTCAGGCGATGTGTGGGCGGGATGATATGCTGCCCCTGTCACCTGGCCACACCTCCGAGATCACTCAACAGCTCCGCCTCCCTCCTCGCCGCTGATTGGCCACCGGAACTGTAGCTCAGGAGAGGCACACAGGCGGCCAATCACCGGCGAGGAGGTGGAGCTTGGAGAGGAGGAGCCGAGCGGCAGCGCGCGTAGATCAAAGAAGATCGAGGGAGCTGCCGGAGCAAGTGAAGAGGAGAGCGGCCAGAGAAGGAAGACAGCTGACAGGTAAGTGCAAATTTTGCTGCCGCAGCCAGGTATGCTGCCTGTAGATGGGAGAGGGAGAGAGAGAGCGAGCCCAGGCTGGAGCAGGGGTCAGCAAGGTAAGTATCATTGGTGTCAGTGGGAGGAATAGTGCCCCATCATTTGTGTCACTAATACCAACGATGAGGCACTATTTCTCCCACACATACACCAACGATGGGGCACTATTCCTCCCCCCACTGACACCAACGATGGGGCACTATTCCTACCCCCACTGACACCAACGATGGGGCACTATTCCTACCCCCACTGACACCAACGATGGGGCACTATTCCTCCCCCCACTGACACCAACGATGGGGCACTATTCCTCCCCCACTGACACCAATGATGGGGCGCTATTCCTCCCCCCACTGACACCAACGATGGGGCGCTATTCCTCCCCCCGCTGACACCAACGATGGGGCGCTATTCCTCCCCCCGCTGACACCAACGATGGGGCGCTATTCCTCCCCCCGCTGACACCAACGATGGGGCGCTATTCCTCCCCCCGCTGACACCAACGATGGGGCGCTATTCCTCCCCCCGCTGACACCAACGATGGGGCGCTATTCCTCCCCCCGCTGACACCAACGATGGGGCGCTATTCCTCCCCCCGCTGACACCAACGATGGGGCGCTCTTCCTCCCCCCGCTGACACCAACGATGGGGCGCTCTTCCTCCCCCCGCTGACACCAACGATGGGGCGCTCTTCCTCCCCCCGCTGACACCAACGATGGGGCGCTCTTCCTCCCCCGCGCTGACACCAACGATGGGGCGCTCTTCCTCCCCCCCCGCTGACACCAACGATGGGGCGCTCTTCCTCCCCCCGCTGACACCAACGATGGGGCGCTCTTCCTCCCCCCGCTGACACCAACGATGGGGCGGTCTTCCTCCCCCCGCTGACACCAACGATGGGGCGCTATTCCTCCCCCCCCGCTGACACCAACGATGGGGCGCTATTCCTCCCTCCACTGACACCAACGACGGGGCGCTATTCCTCCCCCCACTGACACCAACGACGGGGCACTATTCCTCCCCCCACTGACACCAAGAATGGGGCACTATTCCTCCCCCTGACCCCAATGATGGGGCACTATTCCCCCCTCCACCACACTGACATCAATGATGGGGCACTATTCCTCCCACTGACACCAATGATGGGGCACTATTCCTCCCACTGACACCAATGATGGGGCACTATTCCTCCCACTGACACCAATGATGGGGCACTATTCCTCCCACTGACACCAATGATGGGGCAGTATTCCTCCCACTGACACCAATGATGGGGCACTATTCCTCCCACTGACACCAATAATGGGGCACTATTCCCCCCACTGACACCAATGATGGGGCACTATTCCCCCCACTGACACCAATGATGGAGCACTATTCCTCCCACTGACACCAATGATGGGGCATTATTCCTCCTACTGATACCAACGATGGGACACTATTAATCCCACTGACATCAGTGATGGGGCACTACTCCTTCCACTGACACCAATGATGTGGCACTAGTCCTCCCACTGCAAAATTACAGTTATGAAGTAGCAACGAAAATAAAATTTATGGTTGGGGGTCACCACAACATGAGGAACTGTATTAAGGGGTCGCGGCATTAGAAAGGTTGAGAACCACTGCTCTAAAGGAATGTTTTCACTCACACTGTGAAAGGGTTATCTGTTCTATAATTATGCAGTCTCCTAGCCTTCCAGGCAAACAATCCTCAGAATCTTCCAAAAGAAGATTCAGGTGAGCATGGCTGTTTGAGCCCTGCTGGTTCAAGTAACCAGGGATAAAGAAGACCATGTGGTCAATACATTCTAAAGAAGTTGCTTCCACTCGCCATGTGAAGGGGTCATTAATAATGACTGTATGATTCATGCTTTGTTTAAATAGACAGTGATTAAGATGATGGTGACCAAGTTGTCACAATTGATTAAGCATGGTCTCAGAGCCTTCTCAAGCCAATCTTCATCAGTCCCTCCTGAACAAGATGAGGACGACCTTTGTCCAGGTTGTGGACTCCTCCTTTTGTAAGGTTGATGAAATTCCTTTAAATAGAAGCAAACCTGTGGAAGTATTTCAAGTGCCCCCAGAGGACAGCTTGACAATTCCCTTATGGTGACTGAATCAAGTGCCTGTTCTACAAGATTGGAGCATGGTGTCACAGCGGGATGTCAAGGGTTTTGAATCACCACTTTTGTCGGTGTGTCTCTTATGGGATTGGCCAGATACATGACTTTACCATTAGAAGATGCTGTGGCCTTCGAGGATGTACTCAATAACTGCATTGTTCTTGATCTTGGTGAAGTCTGAATTAATAGTGGTCAGTTTGATTTCCAGCCTCAAGATGAACATCTGTTGAGTTAAAGGAGACTGGAGTTCAAGAGTCAATTTCCACGCTCACTCCAGAGAGGGTAGCTTCTGCATTTCTGGCTGGGAGTCAAAGAAAAAGCCAGCATATAATCCAAAAAGTCCGCGAAGAGCTTTGTGTCAGGATGCTTTCTAGTATTTTGGGAATTGTTCCATCCATACATGTCTTATGGGCGCTTGGTGGTTCCCCTTTGGACATAGGTGCAGCTTTGGTGACAGACATATAGTCACTCAAGGCAAGCATTTCAGGTCATTTTTGGAAGATCTTTCATCCTTCACATCTTAAATCCACAAGGTCAGGTAGACTGTTGAACTCTCACCCCCTATCAAGTTGGGTTTCTGGACTGGTAGCAGTCAGAGGGCCTATGTCAGAAGATTTGGATTACGCCCTGTATGGAAGCGAGCAATAACTTGTAGTTGGAGAAGCAGAATCTTCTGCGATGTCATTCCCATCTGATAACCTAGTGGCTGGTGGTGCAGTATGACACCAGCAAAGTATGAATTTCAGGATCTCCTAGCCTTCAGTTACCTCATCCAAGGTGGACCTGTCCTGGTGAAGTTTGACAGCGCAACGACTGTGGCCTACATCCGGAAACAAGGGGGCACTTAATGTCTCCCTCTTGAAGGAGGTTTCTCTGATTCTAGAGTTGGCCCAAGTCAATGTCCTGAAGCTATCTGCTGCCTATGTTTCTGGTTGGCGGAATCTTTAGGCAAACAATTTGTCCAGGAGAATCCTGGACGACAATGAATGGCCCAGACTGCCACAAGTTTTTCGAGAACTAATGAGCTTGGTAATCACTTCCAGAGATAGACCTGTTCACATCCTCAGTCAACACCAAGTTGCTTTCTAATCCAGGGTCCAGCATCCACAAGCAATCAGG